AGAGCTATGCAAAGTGCCAAATAGCTAGAAAGCTAGTGCAGCAAAAAACTACGGCAAGTGCGGGACGACCAGCTGCTGGTTGCTAAGACGCAACTGTCTGCATGAAAAAAATTGCAATATGTATATTATAATATCAATACACAACTGCAAAATGAACATTTAGTGGCGGCCAAAACTTCGTATTTGTCTAAACCACCCCCCATCGGTTTTCCAGTTGTTTTGGCACAGCGGTAGTTTTGTCCGAGGCTCATTTTTTCACCAGCATGAGTCTGAGCTAATTCGACTGCTTCACAGCAGTGCCAAAACGCTCAGATATGCTCAGATTATACATATGCTCTTTGGCAAACAATGACTCCGTCCTTTCCACAATTCTAATTCCATGACATTCTAAATCCCATAACTTGCATGCAAAAAGCTCTAGATTGTGGAAAGACCCAAAGGAGGCAAGCACCCTTGCCTCCCGAAGCAGCACCTCCCGTGAAATGGCTTCAGGTCGAAAGAAGGTCCCCCGTTCTGTACTCGGAGTCCTTGTCAGTTTAAACACTCACTTCCAGCATGCCCTTGCACGCAACTTAGAGTATATATAGATTCTTTATGAGTGGCCGCGCAAAGCTGGCCCTGCTGTACAGGCTCTTACACACCTATTTCAAAAATCAAAAGTGAATTATCTCGAAAGCTAGAACGTATGAAAGTGTATGAAAGCTCTTCTACGTCCTTTGTCTCAGCAATTCATGCCTCTAAGATCTCAGGTTTGTCATCCATTTCAACTGGATGCAGCCAATCATTAAACATCTGAGTGATCTCCTCAAGGCTTTTGTCCTAGCGAAGGGAAACTCTGCATAATTTGCCAAGTTTGTTCCTGCAAAGATGTGTACTCTCCCTTAAGCCTCAAGCTTCATTGACATCCACAATTTCAATACCCCTCCTTTGTTTCGGGCAAGGACACGGCACAGAAGAAGCACAAGCAGTTTGTTCCCACAAAGAGCCAGAAGGTGTTGAATCCCCAGTTGGCAAACATGATGGGCGGCAAGAATGCAATGAGGATATTACCCACCTTGGCAAAAATCTGGTGCCGGATCCAACACTGCATTCCGTCAAAGGGTTTCTATCTGTACAACTGCCAAGCTGCCCAGTTCGCATCGGTCGTGGCCGCGACACCCTGGCACTTGGGAGCTTGAGAATCAAACAAAAGTTGCTTGATCACCTGATCTGGAGCATCCGACGCCTCAAACCAGCCCTACTGATCCTACTGGTTGCCGCATTTGAAGAAGGGCCCAAGTGCACAAGATGCGCAAGTGACTTTCCTGACCTTTAGATGACTTGAAGATGGGTTCACCTGCCTTTGTTCGATGTTTCTGTGGAAACATCTCGGCACAGTAGACCCAAGCCATTCCACCCCATCCGTAGGCAAAGTTCAGGATGAAGCCGCAAATGGCCACGGTCGCTGTCCTCAGAACTTCGGTTGTGGGGTGTGAGCTGTTAGCTTCTCTCTTGGTGAGGGCAGATTGGGGGTAAAGAAAAGTTGCTCTTTCTCGCAGAATATGCATAGTCCATATTCGTGACTTCAGCATGTCAAGCATTCCAATTCCAAACGAGGTTCCACTTTGCCCAGTCTCCACAGGATGACTCTTCATCCTGACTCAAGCCATCGATTCACCTCCAAGTTCTGCAACCTGTGTGTGCGTGTAAAGGCCAAGTAAGTAGCCAACATGCTGGATCTGTACACTGTGTGTCAGAAGCAATACTTTCGAGGAACATAACTAACTGACAGTCTGACACTTATGTGCCCCCTCTGCCAATAATAATGTTTCCTTGGAAGCACCCATCTCCTGGAAGCATACATCACCCACACTAGCCAGAACCGCTGAGCAAATCATCATTCCTTGGAGAAAAGAGAAGGGCTCCCAAAGCCCAGTGGTTTGTCTCTGCGTGTCTATGTGTGACAAGGGAAGCAAGAATTCGGTGAAGCCATGTTTCTTGAACCAGCCAAAAAACTTGCAATGGGTTGTCATGGAAACAATCAGGGAAACTATTGTTTTGAGTACGACAAGCACGGGATGTGCCTGAAGCTGAAGCAATCTGAGATTCCAATGGCTGACCACTTCATCAGCAAGGTACGGCCATACCGATCCACCAAAAAAGAGTCCCGGGATGGTGGCAAAGATGTTGACCACACCTTTAACACCATTCATTCAAGGCAACCTGGTCAAGCTTACCAACACATGCGCGTGCATGATGGATGGGCGATCATTTCTGGGCGCACATGTACAAGCCATCCGGCCCGCCTGAAACCAATGTGAAGAGCCTTCCGGCATGTTCAGACCCAAAGAGCTTGTTGAAGATCAAAGGGCCATCGTACATGAAGGCGTTCATTCCACAGAGCTGCTGAAGCAACTGGATGCTGACGCCAATGCCCAGGAGCTTTACTCGGCAAAATCACTCGTGGACTATTTCTGTGTGCATCTACCGGAGCTTACGCTGGGCAGTACATAAACTGTCTCGGTATATGACGGGACTTCATTGCTCTACCGTTTCTCTCACTTCGATGCAGGTGGCAGGTGAAAGGCTCCACTGGCGCCAAGGCACAGTTGTCCCCTGAGAGGACCTCTCCCCAGCTGGTGTGAGTAGCTGATTCTGCCTCGTGCTCTTGCAAGATCTGGGCCAACTCTACACGCACATCCTTCAGGGCTCGAATTAGGAAAGAGGGAATCCTGAAACCGGCCATAAGCTGGTGTAAGCCGGCTGTTCGCAAAGGCAAACCGCTTCACATTGTTACCAACTCGTGAATTTGACCGAAGCGTGGTTCCAGTGCAGAAAAGCTGGAAGTTCGGAACGGAGCGTGCCGTTGGTAGACGCAATTTAGCACAGGATTCAAGCAAATGCATAGCGATTTGAAAGGTGAAGGTGTTTCTGGAAATGACAAATGCCTATATTCAATTGGTAATCAGCGGTGCAATGGCATCAGTCTTGGGCATCTCCCCCCGTTTGTCTTTCTCGAATCCCTCCCCTCTCTCCTGGCTGCGCAGCTTGAGCAACATCTTCAGCGCCTCGTTTGGCTTGCCTTGCGCCACCAGGTACTGTGGAGACCCAGGCATCACCATGCCACCAAAGACCAACAATAGCCCCGGCACTATCCTCAGAGAAAGTTTGGAGTAAATTGGACGTGATTTGCTAATCGCGTGGAAGCCTTCTGGCTCTGGCAATCGATCTGAAGGTCCACACATGATGCATGGGTTGTCAATCGAGGATCTGGGCAGCAATAACCCAGCGCCAGCCACCATACGGTTTCTCCACATCTTCCAAGACAAGGGCCAATAGAAATGCAAGCATGATTCCAACCTTGCAAAAG